GCATTTTATTTGTCAATAATCAGCAACTTCAATGGAACAATGTGTTGTATATGATACATACCTTCATGACATAAAATCCAATAGTTAGATTAGTTTGGTTAATATCTGCTCTTGTATCTCTTTGTGTAACTGATAACATCACCTCATCACCATCGTCATCAGATATAGTAAAGACAAACTAAAAACAAATATGAATACAGTATAAGCATTGTGAACAGCATTGAATTATGAAATCATCACTGTAAATGAGTCAGAGAGGAATATCATGTTTCTCTCAACCATTATTGACACTTGTATGATTGCTTACACAGCAACGGTTACAACTTGTCAAAAATCTTGACAACGTGCTGCCCTGATATTTGCTGTACAAATAAGAAATATTATCAAATTTGATTTAATGTTGTAAAATATGTAATAATATTAGTTGGTTTGCAAACCTGTGGATTTTGTAGAAACGTTTCCTTGTTATTGATACATCCTCCTGCTCTGTTCCGCAACCGATCTTGGTATTTCTTCCATTTACTTATCAATATTTTCTCTCTCCAAGTTTTACGAATCGTCAGGAAGGCAGTATTTGGAAGACGGCATATGACAGCATTGGTGAAATTTGTACAAAAATCATGGAAAGTCATCCTGTACCAGAAAAGGAAACTATGTCATGCCTTATTTAAACAAAACTCTTGAAAAATATGTTGGATAATATTATTTTCCCTGGGTATCAGAAAAGGCACGAGGTTCAACTAGTTGCCAAGTGAATAAACACACCTGATGCCACTGAAACACATTATTTCAACACCCTATTTTCTCTATTAGAAGGGTATTTCTAATGAAAGTGCACATAACCAAAATATGACTTATATTGATCATAGATTTATATGAGCAGTATGCACATGTGCTAATAATAGAGAAAATATGGTATATTGTATTTGCTCAATTCAAAGTACATCTGCAATAAATTTAATTATATCAGCAAACTTAACTGTTCATTTTTCTTAACCTTTTTTTTTATGTAACGTATGCAATTCTAATTTAGTAAAATACATATTTGGTAATCGGAATTCATGTCATCTGGCCAACTAAATGTTGTATGCATAACAGTAAGTTCATAACTACCAAATACATTGGTTCATATTTTATCACTTATAAGATTGTTTAAACATTCATTTTATTGGTAATGCAATACGTGATGTGAATGTGGGACTGTGGGTTAGGCGAGTTGAATGGGATTACCAGTATACGTCTAGTATATTACCAAGACATTAAATTAAAATGTATTACCAGAATTCTCCATCATCATCAAATGTAAGACCCATTTTTTCTCTTTCACTTTTGCCGACTTTTGACCATTCTGGAGATCTTGAAAAATAATGGATAAAACATGCATTACAATACTGTTATGTCTACACTGGACTTGTATAGCAGGCTTCAATTTTAAGACCATGGTTGTCTCAACTTAATTCATAATGCCATAGCCCAAAGCTACATTTGAACAAGAAAAAGGTATTTGCTATTTTTATTGCCCAAACTGTTGACAATAATTACCAGGGTAATTGCATTACATAGTAGCTGTGAGTTTTTAAGTTTAACAAATATATAAGGCTTGAACATGAACAGTCAGCGATATGGCTCCAAAACTGCATTCACTAAAACAAAATGGCCACCAGTCGGCCATTAAGATCCATTAAAGTTCAATATACATACCAAGTCTGAACTAACCAAGATCAAGAATTGTAGAAATGCTTGATTTTGATTTATGTTTAACATCAATACAACCGCAATTTGGCCATCTTGAATTGGATAACCAAATATTCCCATGTGCAGCATGATGTGCCGGTATATGTAAAATTTAAACATGATCAGTTAGAATATGTACGAGATATAGCTCTGAAACTGTATCCGATAAAAATAAATGGCCACTACCTAGACCATTATTGAATGCCATATTTTTTCTAGCCAAGTTTGCCAAACAATTTTAAATTTGTTGTGCTTTTTTTATTTCTTTGTTAATTTTGAATGAAATTAGACACAATTTTCTATTTACTACAGGTCTTGGTCAAAATCTTTGAAAAAAAAATATAAAAAAAATGGTGCTGTTTTTTGTGTGAAAGGAGAAAAATAGAATTTGACTCTCATCGGGCTAAATATGATATTGTAAATAGTGTACTGACACATATATAATATTATCAGGCAAACTGACTGACCTACACCAAAAATACCATTTCAGTCATAAAAAAGAAAGAACAATGTCCCAGCCACCAGAGGGCACTCTACCAATATTTTGCAATTATTATTTCATTTAGTGTGGCATAAAATATGGTGCAAAACATGTAAATATTTGTGATGTGAAACATACAGAGACTTACTGATCACTCCAGGCTCCATTCCACTCTTTTTCACCCCATGGATTACGTAAACGTATCATTGCTATTTTCTCAATACCTTTGAAGTAAGACAACAATCCAGTATCACCAATCTTGACATTTCTGACGTCAGTCACACCATATGCATGCCCTTTAATCAATCCTACTTCAGTCTTGGCTTCCATCTCTGAAGCCGATGTTACCTAGAGAGATGAAAATAAGCATGTCAAATAATCTTAAACGTCTTAGTGTATTCACTGTCATCATACATTTATGTTAGTTGAGTATATAGACATATACATCCTTCTTTAAAAAAACAACAACAAGCATGTTTTATTTAAAAACTACTGTTTTACTATTTTGGTCTGTACAACCAGTTCACCTTAAGTACTATCATGTGACTGAAAAGGTCCTAATACAGACTGAATTAATAGCCAATCTTCAGTCAGACTATATTGCTGTGTTTTATACAGCGATGTAAAATATTGTACACACATGCCTGAACTGGTTGCAGTTACTGGTACCTGGAATTGTCACAGTCAAATTTCAAAGAAAAACATATTTACAAATTAACTGAAACTATATAGCATCTAGGTATAATTTTCCAAAACAAATTCCTACTGCAAGTAAATATCAACACTCTGAGAAGGTCATATGCATTACTTTGTGCATGTGCACGTGTACAATAAATCTGTGAAAACTAGGATAGAGTGACGCAAGTTTTAATTGCAGAGTAAAAATAAAAGATTACATGTGTGTAATCTGAAGTGCTCTGAAATTCAATCAGATAAGCAATGATAAACAAGTTTTTAATGATTTACAACACATGATCAATGATCAAACCTATGTAAATATCGTAGACAGTGTTTTATTGTATATTGTGTGTGAGGTCACAGTACATTAATTGGTGGTGTAATTTCAGATAGAGGTATCACTACATTTTGTACCTGTAGATCTACCTAAAGTTATTCTACACAGAACATTCTCAGAGTAACACTGAAAAACTAATATGTGTAAATTCCAACACAGCTAAACGATTTATTTTGATATATTTAATTTATATAAAAAAACAAATTACGTAAATAAAAATTAAATGCACCTGAATATCATGCTTTCTTTGAGTTATCACAGTATTTACACACTAAATACAAATACGTACATTACCAGAAGAAGACAATATGTGAAATATGTGGTGATTAAGTGAGTCTTACCAGTCACATGTGTCATGCAAAACACTCTTGTATAACAGAAGAAAGGAAGAAACGAAGATAGACAGAGATGAGATGACAACATGTATAATTGATAACGGTATCCATGGACCAATCCCACAATGCATTACACAATGTCATGTGACGTACATGAACCATTTGACTGTAACATATTTTGTTACATCCATATACATGGGATGGCATCTGAACATTACAATGTCACTATACCACAGCAGAGCTGTACCTTATAAAGTAATAGTGACTTATATTATTATTATATGACTTGTACCTCAATAAACGCTACACATAAAACCTGTAATGCAATAAAATTATTCTCACTATGAAAACATTCCTATATTCCCAACATTCTATTTAAAATATACTTAGATTAGTATAAATATGCTAATGATTAGTATAAATTCCCTAATATGTGCAAAAACATTGTTAACAAGTGTTGAATCGCATGCAACCAGGTGTACAGCAGTTTATCTCAAATAATAGACTGAACTTTGAAGGAAAAAGCTAATAGAATGTAACACCACATGTGAACACTTGATAGGCTGTGATTAGCAACACACTGATGTCTCAGATTTCAATACGACTTCCCCAGATCAAAGTTGGCCATTATTTGGAAACTAGCAATGAAAATATTGAAGGAATGATGGAATCATGCATGTTGGACATCTTTAATATAATGCTGGATATGGACAAGAATGTCAATATCTCCAAGAATGTAGTAGATACACACAGAATGGAGGCAAACTAACCAACAGCCTGAATATAACATACAGTTACACATGTATATCATAAATAACGCCAAGCAGGACATCTATAAGTACTAACAAATACATATAGGTGTATAAAGTAAAGAAATAAATACACAGATGTAGAGTTATGTATGTGACTGGACCATGTCTACAAGTTCATGTGCATTAATCATCAGATACAAAACATCTGCACTGAATAACTATAAACCTTATGAAACAATAACCAACTGTGTATATCACAATATTGAATGAGGAGTCTATACTACGGTACCATCTTTATTATATTCAGCTGGTCCAGGAATTAATTTTGTGCTAAAAAAATTTTTTTGTCATTTGGAAATTTATTTTCACAGACTTTTTATAAGTTAAATATAAAACATAGGAAAAAAGTATATTCACTGGATTTTCACTTATGCATCCCTCAGCAAAAATAAATTCAAGGTGAAAATTAATTACAGTATGTGAGATATACTGAACTTTGCAATACTATTTCAGATATAGTGTTCAAGCAATGAGCACAGAACTGACTCTAGATCAAATAGGAAAGTTAATTATTGTTATTATGATACACTATCAATACATGTTACCAGTACAAGTTATAATGAAATGATGATGTCATCTATTTTGATGAGTTTTACATCCCAAACCTGAATGGTGCATCATTCTGAATTGAGATGCACAGACAACACACTATTGTAACCATGTACATATTACAATACCATATTTTAATAAGCATTACTTAAACAACTTACTTTGATAGAACTACTCATCAATGAATTTCTATCCAAACATTTCTGCATTTCTTTAAATAAGACATTACGTTTCTCTTCATCCACAGCTGGCTCCATCAGATCAATATTTTCAGCAACACCACCAGTAAAATCAACCAAGGCATCAGCTGTATTGCCACCATCAAGATTCTCATAGCAACCAGATATTCTTAAAAAGAAAAAAAATTATATGTGATCAACCAAGACATTTACTATATTACAAGCTTAATGTTTTCATGGCAACCAGATTGTCTTCACAAATATTCTAGCAATTCAGGTTTAAGATTTTACTAAAACAAGAGAAAATATACTGTATTTAATCAATTAGAAGTGTATAGTAAACAACAGTTAAATGAGTCAGCCATTTTGAATTGGAACTTGAAATGAATGCATGTTAGTAAGTGTAACATATGCTGCACAATGTAGTATAATATAAAGTTGATTGCAATCAGTCAATGATGTCAGAGACATATGACTCTAGAACAACATTTGTTACAATAAAATTTGTCATTCAGCCATTCTTATTCTGAGCTGAAAAAACATTCCATTATGTTCAATGTAGCAATTTGGTCTGAACAATAACTATTAATATAAAATCAAGATCCGGCTCTGGAATAATGGAAATGCTATATTTTTAGCACTGAGACAATGTCTTGAATCTGATCAGCAAACAAAAATATATGCGCTATGATGTATTAAGTATAAATAACGTTTGAAAATGTTTGGTCAAGGCATGTCAGAGATATGGCTCCAGAACAGTATTCATTAGAACAAAATGGCCACTAGTCAGCCATTTTAAGTTTGATCTGAAAAACAAAATGATGTGCCTTGATGAATCAGATTCTTGTTTATTCCATTTCATGTAAAAATGTGGGGAACTATATATTGGTTCTGCAGTATATTGACTAGGAGATTGGTTTGCTGTATACAATGTATCTACGACATACTAGGCAGGTTTTTATCTGGTTCCACTTGATTTTATTCAAGGGGCATAACATTTCAGTCAACATGTCAATTTTTGGTATAAGTGTTGTCAATGGCAAAGACAACGACAATTAAATCAGGCACATTGACAACTATATTCTACCTTGGAACTACAGAACTACAGGGATTTAACAAACTGTTCAACTCATTCCCTGTGCTAACTCCCAAATTCACGTATACATGTTCTATTGAGGAATCTTTTATATTGTTCTGCTTGTTCTTAAGTTCTTATTTTCTACCTATGCATTTTAAAATTTTTTTTCTAATGCTGTTGATAAAGAGCCAGTGCTCAAAACGTCTAACTATTTTGCGACAAAAACGACTGATCAGAACAAATCCAATCGAAATTGAAGAAACGTTTTAAAGACTGTGTACTGTCTCAGACGCATGACTGTTTAATCTCTCAGCTCAACAGCATCGTGCCATATCAAGAAACACAACAACACAAGCACGAAACCAAAATTGTTTTTTTCAGCCATGTTGTCTTCATACTAAGAATTTGAGGGCACTGTCCTTTCGACTCTGATTGAACTGAATTGAACTCTATGCTGGCAGATCACGGCCCAACCGTGTAAACGCATTTGAGAGAATCTCCTGTTAATCGGTGGAAGAAGCAGTAGTTCGGCTCCGATAGAATGCTGCCGCGTAAACATAACAACAGTATACCTGTCTTAATTTTGTTGATTAATCTTTCAAACAGTAAATGTTAATTGAATAAGCAGTTTAATGAAAAAAACATTTGCAGTATGTATTGACAAATCAAAAGCCATGGGTGATTTTGCATGTTGATGTCTTAAAGAGAGTTTGCTTAATTACTGACACACTGTAACACCCAATATCCCACAGATGCTAAACACTCTACATCAAGATACTTACTTAGCATATGCTTTCTCTAAGAGCGCACTCCAAAATTCATTCTTTGTTTGTGAATGAACAAAGATAAGTTGATTGTTAATAGTAGGTAATCTGTCATCGACTACAACATCTAACCATTCACCAAATCTCCAAAAGCGGAAGTGAAATATACCAGCATATTTCTGTGGGTTTTCAGAATCCCATTCTTGTTCCTCATGAGTTGGTACAACCTATCATGTGATCAAAATAGAACAATTATATTAAATATGTGAAAACTTTAATATTGAAAAAAAGAGACTGAATTCCTAAATTGTACAGTGCTAGGGTAATAATAATGTAGATAACCACAGTCAATCATATTGACTCATCTAGCTTCACTAAATGTCTCAGATTTTTAATGTGGATACTACAAAGTATGTATACATCTAGTATATTTTTGTTGAAATAGTATTTAGCATATACCTTTGTCCATAGCTCTTGCTGCTGAGCTAGACTAGAACAAGCTGCCACAAACCAACAGTTACCCAGACTTCCTTGACTGACATCACCACTACTTGCTCCTTCTACAAACAGTTTAGGATCATTGCTAATTTCCTGCAATCAAAGTAAAACATTGAAATAGTCAAACTACAGATGGTGTGATCAAATCAATCAATCAAGACACTCCAGGATGTAATCAAGCCACATAATAATGTAATCAAGCCACTCAATGATGTAATCAAGCCACACAATGATGTAATCAAGCCACATAATGATGTAATCAAGCCACATAATGATGTAATCAAGCCACACAACGATGTAATCACAACACACAATGATTTAATCAAGCCACGTAACGATGTAATCAAGCCACACAACGATGTAATCAAGCCACACAATGATGTAATCAAGCCACAAAATGAAGTAATCAAGCCACACAATAATGTAATCAAGCCACACAACGATGTAATCAAGCCACATAATGATGTAATCAAGTCACACAAC